CCCACCCATTCCCTGCCAAAACCAATCATACGACTCACCCAGGCAGAGATGCGCAACCGTCGCGAACAGGGACTGCTTCAACTGTGATGACCAGTATCGACCCAGTCACCGGTGTCGTCAATCCCACATACTACTGTTACTAGGGGAGAAGGAAGATCCCGACCCTGTTCCAGCGACAGAGATCCTCGCACCACCGCCCCCTCCTGTGGTAGAACATCCAGAGCATCTCATCGCATTACATGTCATATCAGCCACTAAGCATGCTAGAGGCCGTACGATGCGCTTGGACGGATTCATTTTCCAAACACCGATCTAAGTCTTCATCGACTCTAGTGCTGATCAAAGTTTTCTCAACCCGCAAGTGGCGACTCGTTTAGGCTTGCATGTTGACTCGTCTCAAACCGAGGCAATCATGGTCGCCACAAGACGTTGTTTTGTACTAAAGGGGTGGCTCACCAAGTTTCGGTGCGCTTTCATGGCTATACATTTACCAGTGACTTTCACCTTCTTTCGGTGGTGGGATGTTACATGGTATTAGGAGTGGATTGGTTGGAAACACTGGGTTTCATCAGATGGAATTTTTTGTTAAAAATTATGGAATTCTCAATCCATGGAACCAATTACCGATTGGTTGGGTCCTCGAATTCCTCTGTTCTGCGTTCTCCTGTGCCTACAAATATTGAGATTGTTCCTGGCAAGCCTCTTCATGCTGTATCCCAGTTGTCAAGCCTTACTCACCTCTATCACCAACCACTTCCATCACCGGCCCTACTTCAATCCATTCTCACTAAATATCACAGTCTCTTCCAACCACCAACATCCTTGCCCCCTCATCGCGAGATCGATCATCGAATTCCTTTACTCCCAGGTACGGGGCCTATCAATGTTCGACCATATCGATACAGGCATGCCCAGAAAGCCGAATTGGAGCGCCAAGTTGACGAGATGCTAGCCGCAGGCATTATCCGCCCCAGCTCGAGTCCCTTCTCGTCCCCGGCTTTATTAATGGCCAAAATGACTTGTCATGGCGTTTTTGTGTGGATTACAGAGAGCTAAATGCGGTCACCATCAAAGATTGCTTCTCGGTCCCTATTATTGAAGAACTATTGGTTGAATTGAAAGGTGCTATGATATTTTCTAAATTGGATCTCAGCTCCGGGTACCACCAAATTCGAATGCACGAGGCGGACATCCATAAGACAGCGTTCTGCACACATGAAGGCCATTACGAATTCACAGTCATAATTTGGCCTGACTAACGCACCAACCACATTCTAAGCACTGATGTATTCAATCTTGAAGCCCCTGCTCCGGAAATCCGTTCTCATCTTTTTTGATGATATTTTAGTCTTCAATGACTCCCTAGACCGCCATGTTTCCCACCTCACAGCCATGTTCGACATTCTCCAGTTGCACCAATTGCAGTTGAAACCATCTAAGTGTACTTTTGGTCAGGACTCGATTGCCTATTTAGGCCATATCATTTCAGCTAGTGGGGTTCAGGTTGACCCATCCAAAATTGCAGCTATTATGGAATGGCCGATGCCTACAAGTCTTAGGGGCCTTCGCGGATTCTTAGGTCTGGCAGGATACTACTGCAAATTTGTCCGCCATTTTGGTTTCATTGCCAAGCCTCTCACTGACTTGCTCAAAAAAGACAGTTTTTTTTTGTCCCCGGCAGTCGACACGGCGTTCTCGGCCCTCAAACTTGCACTGTCCACCACACCCGTGCTGGCTCTCCTGGACTTCACCAAGCCGTTCACTCTCGAGTGTGACGCCTTAAACGTTGGTATAGGAGCAGTGTTGGCACAAGATAACCATCCCATCGAGTTCATCAGTAAGCCTTTGGCCCCCAAACACCAAACCTGTAAGTGTATGATAAGGAAATGATAGCTGTAGTGTTTGCTGTACAAAAGTGGTGCCCATACTTGATTGGTCATCACTTCAAAATTCTCACGGATCACTAAACACTCAAATATTTCTTGGACCAACGACTTACTACTCCGGCACAACAAAAGTGGCTGTTGAAACTACTTGGGTACAACTATACCTTGGAGTATCGTCCAGGGGCTTCTAATGCAGCTGCTGATGCACTGTCCCGCCGTTCTGACCTTCTATCTCTAATGGGGATATCACAACCACCATTTGATTGTGTATCCGAGATTCAGAATTCCTATGGGGCAAATCCTTCCACGGCCAAACTCTTTTAAGACTTACAACATAACCCCCACAGTACAGGCTATTTTAAGCTGCAAAGTGACCTGATTTATTACAAGACCGGTATTTTCGTACCTTCCACATCTCAGTGGCGTGCCCGCCTTCTACAGGAATTCCATGCTTCTCCTTCTTCCGGACATTCTGGGTTCTTATGGACATACAAACGCATCACTCATTACTTTAATTGGCCCGGCATAAAAAAGAGGTTAAAAGCTTTGTGGCCGCTTGTGATGTCTGCCAACGAACTCATTATGAAACCATTAAACCACCAGGATTTCTACAGCCACTCTCTATGCCGACCCAATTGTGGACTGATATTGCTATGGACTTCGTCGAAGGTCTTCTCTCGAACCATGGCAAGAATGCTATTTTGGTAGTCATGGATCGTCTCTCTAAATACGGTCATTTCATTCATATCCAGCACCCCTACCCCGCTCCACAGATTGCTGAAGTCTTTATTCAGGAGGTGTTCAGATTGCACGGGATGCCTGCTTCTATTGTCAGTGATGGAGACCCGATTTTCCTTAGTGAGTTTTGGACGGCCTTCTTCAAACACCAACATACGACACTTTGCAAAAGCTCCACCTATCACCCACAAACAGATGGCCAGACAGAAATTCTTAATAGGATATTAGAGCATTATCTTCGCAGCTTTGCCATGGACAAACCCACTACTTGGATTCAATGGCTGCCATGGGCGGAATGATGGTATAACACCACATTTCAGTCAACCATCAAAATGACTTCATTCCAGGCGGTCTACGACTATCCTCCACCCACCGTGCAGTCCTACCTTCCCAGCTACTCTCCGGTTCATCTGGTGGATGTCACTCTCAGGAACCGAGACACCCTTCTTAAGCATCTCAAGGAGAACATGCACATGGCACAGCAGTGCATGAGGCAACAGGCAGACAAGCATCGATCGGAAATGACTTTTCAAGTAGGTGATTTGGTCTTCCTCAAACTCCAACCGTATAGGCAAACCTCTGTGTCTAAAACTCACTGCCCAAAACTGGCACCACGCTATTACGGACCATTTCAAGTGCTCGCTCGCGTCGGCCAGGTCACCTACACATTGGACCTTCCTCCTCAGTCCCGCATTCACCCCACTTTTCATGTGTCACTGCTCAAACCCAAGCTCAGTGCTCATTCTGTGACTTCAGCAACACTACCCTCAGTGGCCGCTGATGGTTCCCTTCTATGGTTTCCATAGTGCATCATGCAACGTGGCATGTTCAAAAGACACAACAAGGCGATCACTCGCTGGTTAATAAATGGCAAGGTCTACCAGAGCATGACGCAACATGGGAAGATGCTGACTCCATAGTCACTCGTTTTCTAGATTTTGACGCCTGAGGACAGGCTTGTTCTATGGGGGGTGCCCTATTAAGACCCATTTCCCATTCAGGCCCATTTCCTTAGTTATTTCCTTTATCTAGTAGTGGATCAGCAGTAGGATAGTGACTCGGCATATTTACCTAACACTATTGTCTGTAGTGCGGATGTGGGCATATTCATGGTCCGAAATGCCGATAATATCGGCGAAATATCGCCGATATTATCGGTTTTTAAGGGAACCGATTTTTTTTTCAATATCCAAATGATTTTTGTCAAAATATCGCGATATTTCCGAAACTATCGCGATATTTTGGCCTGGTTTCGACGGAAAGAGGACGCCGGAGCTTACAAGCTCCGGTCAACCCCAAAACGTGACCAACACATGTCAAATAAACTACCAAACTGAAGCCCAAGGGAAGAGGAAGAGATCTATACCATTTTCAAGGCATGCCGTGGTCGAAGCTCGACGGAGTTTCACCTTGGAATCCATGGTCCACACCGGAAACTGGGTTTTGGTTCCTTGTCTGCACTAGCAGAGGGAGAAGAAGAACGAGGGAGATGAGGGAGTGCTGGTGTGTGTGTGTGTGAGTTCGGGGAAGAACCGAAGAACTAGAAGGAATGATGAGAGTTGCAGAGAGAGGGAGGAATGATGAGAGTTGCAGAGAGAGGGAGAGCATGGGAAAGTGGAGAGAAAGAGAGGACTGAGAGAGATGAGAGATGAAAGCCTCGGGACAAAAATAAGGGGGTGGACCCCTTGGCTCACTAATTAAGATCCAAAAATAATAATTTAAAAAAAAAATAAAAATAAAAACCTACAAAGTAAAATTATAAACTAAAGGGAAGGGTTTTACATTAAGGCCTTATTCGAAGATGTGACCCTTCTAAACTAGAAATATACCAACTGATGGATTGCTTTATGAAAAATTGGTAGAAAGAGACATAAAGATAAAGTCATCTAACTTGTAAGGCAACTTTCTTGACATAGTATTTTACGTCAATATATAATTGAACCTCATAGGAACTCTATGTGGTACTGAGTCACTAATATATCTTACCATGCAATGTATAAAGTGTAAAATATTGTACTAATTCATTATATATAAATGATTATGGTGTGTTTAGACTTTTTTCATTAATTACTACATATTTTCTACACTCACAATGTTTGTCAGCTCGCTATATAATCAACTTGATAATGTTAAATTCATCATGCAATGCATTTCCTTCCAATTTTTTGTGATAAACTAATAGATAATTGACTAAATAAACATCCTGCAAAGTTTCAATAAAAATTTCCAAGTTTTTCTTACAATTTCCGTGGTTTCCATGTAATTTTTATCGATATCGATATTATCCCGATATTTCCATCGATATTTCCGTATTTTCGGACTACTGATATTTCCGATATTATCGATATTTAATACCTTGGGTATATTATCCCTGTTGCGACTCCCATTTGGGATATGAATGAAAAGCTGTTTCTTTTACAATTTCTCTGTCATTTCCTTTATTCTCTGCAATTCGCCTCTTGGTCCTTCTGGAACCTACCACGCTTTCACGTCGGAACGCAGCGAAACCGATACGAAACGACACGAACTGGTCCTACGGATTCGGTACTCTCGCTGGTGATTCTTCAGGGTCGTCCGTCCTCTTAAAGCGGTTAATTTTTCTCATCAAGGTTACGACTTTACTCAGCAGCAATTTAAAAGTTTTCTTTTTGGTTAATTATTTGATTTCTTAATGATTGTGATGAGAATCTGATGCGTTGGATTTGGTGGGTTGGCAAATGGGCGACTGGGATTTTGGTTTGGATGATTTCAGATGGTTTCTGAGATGTTATTTTTGGAATATGATTGGGAAAATGTGGAAATTTGATTGCAAATTAATTTTTTATATTCAAAATTATGAGTAAATTGTTGAATAGAAGCGTGAATTTACAGAAAGTTGAAGTCTTTTGCTTTACTGGGAGGGAGGATTGTTCGGAAATGATCAAACGAGATCTTTCTTAAGATTGTTAGTTTTTCGGATACAATTTTTAGTAGATTCTTAATTTTCAACAAAGTTGGTACTTTAGGATCCAGAATTTGGTCACCCATTACCGAATTACAGTTCGTGTTTGGATTTTGTTTCGTATCCGTTTAACCATTGATGGGTTAAATTTTGTTTACTGGAATTGTTACGATCAATGTCATTGGTATGTGTTTGATATACCTCGTATTGGGTCACTGAAGTAGTCATTTCTTGTTTTCCTTCTTTCGCTAAGGCTAACTACTACCTCTTTGATTTTGTAGGATTATTTTGTTATGTATTCATAAGACGTCAATCATTGCCTTCCGCATGCACGCCATAGGATAACATTCGAGTTGGTCTTGTGAGAATAGTGGGCAGTTCAAATTCGCGAGGCATTATTCTGCACTTATTGCCTAATTTACTAGATATGGCCATATGCTCTCAATGCTGATTTTCTACGTACTGGTTCACCAAGTTTTATCAATAATTTTTGGCAGCGGATGAAATCATAGTGTTGCCTATTTGGAGATATCAATATTTTATAATTAGTTATGGGTTCCTGAAATTAATTGGGCTATAAATGGACACATATGGTGAGAACAATATCTTGATGGAGTTACTGGATGTATCTGCAATTTTGTGTTGAACAAAGGGAAAATGCTATCAAGTTGGAAACCCCGTACTGATTTGATGCTTATCTCCTTGGGGTACACCTTAATCTTGTTCGTTGGGATATCTAGAACTAGAGAGTATTTAAACAGTGTGATATAAGAAGAAACCATGGAGTATGAATCAAATAAACGATTTCCTTTGGATGCAAAAGATTATAAGTTATATGAAGAAGTTGGTGAAGGTGTCAGTGCTTCCGTGTACAGGGCACTCTGTATACCACTTAATGAGATAGTTGCTATCAAGGTTCTTGATCTGGAAAAGTGTAACAATGACCTGGTTTGAAGCTTACTCTCTTATGCAGCTCATATGTTTATTTTATTTATACTTCATTGAATTTGTGTGTAAGTGATGTTTATATTTGCCTTATCTCGTTCACTTGGGTTCTACTTCTAACATGTATGGACTAACTGAACTTATGCATACATATTGCATAATCGTTCGAGAAGCAATCCTATCACATCATGGCTTCAGTAGCTTACAGAAGACTTATACTTCATTATTTTCGTGGTGAATTTGTTTTCTAACCCTATGTTTGGATGGGGGATTTGCAAGGGTTTTAGGATAGATTAGTTAAAACTGCACTACAAAACATTGTATAAAGGAATTTGAAATGCATTGCATGATCTTTACAACGACATAAACAAAAAGGATTTACAAATTACTCCTTTCAAGTAATCATTGGCAAAATCCCTCCCAATGCAATAAAGCATTGTATCTGGTCAATTCAAATCCCTCCCTCTAATCTTTGTGGTGCATTTCTACCTTATGTAGCTTAATCCTATATGCTTGCCAATCCCTCATCCAAACATAGGGTGAACGTTTGGGCACAACTACAAGGAATTTGTAGAAAGGATTTGTCTGGAAAGAAGTTTAGTTTCTGCGTTAGCAACACTTTTAAACCATCATAGTCTCGAAGAATATTGTTTGTCGAAATTGAATGGTTTTTGTCTTTAAGCTGTCAATTGGTTGATATAAGAGTATAAATGGTATTTTGAAGTATCATCTATAGTTCTATTTTCCGTCAAATTTTGCAGGATGGTATCCGACGGGAGGTTAATACAATGACTTTGATTAAACACCAAAATTTAGTACGAGCACATTGTTCATTCACTGCTGGCCACAGCCTTTGGGTCGTGATGCCATATATGGCTGGAGGGTCCTGCCAGCATATAATGAAATCTTCTTATCCTGAAGGGTTTGAAGAGCCTGTTATTGCGACTTTATTGAACGAAGTTCTCAAAGCTCTTGTGTATCTTCATGCTCAGGGCGACATCCATAGAGATGTGAAGGTACCAAGCTCCACTCTCGTATTATTTACCAATAATTTTTTGTATACTTCATTCAGGCCAAGTGATTTACCAATAACTTTTTGTATTCTTCACTATGAAATAAGGTGAGGCACATTATTGGTTGCAATATGCAGAAAACTAGTATCCTTGGAACCAATATTTTCTGAGGATAGTTACTTTCCATGTAATGCGATTTTTTTTTTTTTGAAAAGATTAATTCTGCGCTTAATGATATAATGTTTACGTCTCTATTCAAAACTTCTTACATGTGAATAACTGGCCGATATGTTTGTGTCTGGGTATATGACAAGCTTGTGTACAAATTGCGTCAAATTTCTCAGCATACTGTTATATATGCCTGTTCATGTTGAAGGATGATGCGCTGGTATTCTTATTTATGTTCTTAACCTTCAAATTCAGGCTGGGAATATTTTAATTGACTCTAATGGTGCCGTCAAGTTAGCAGACTTTGGAGTGTCCGCATGCATGTTCGATGCTGGTGATAGACAACGTTCCAGAAATACGTTTGTTGGAACTCCATGCTGGTATTTGTTTTTTAATCTTTTCCGTCTGCCTTATATATGATGCTGTAATATCAGAATCATTGTCCATTTTAATTGGCTTAAGGCTGTAGAAATTTTATACATAGAGCTCGTTTGGATGTGCTTTTAAAATAACTGAAAGCATTTTTGGTGAAAATGTTTTTAGAACCAATTTTTAGTAAAGATGCAAGTAAACCCTGGAAAAACACTTAAAAGTGCTTCTGGAAGAAGCACATAACTGGTGCTTCTTGCAGAAAACACTAAGTGTATTTTGAACTCAAAAACATTTCTCGAAAAGTGCTTTCAGTCATTTTAAAAGCACATCCAAACGAGTCAAAACAAGGTATTGTAGTAAGAAACGAATAGATACCTCCGAACAAGTAAGACTCATCAGCAGACTATACACCCTAAAATACTCTGATTTTGTCCCTTTCTCCTCAGGATGGCTCCTGAAGTTATGCAGGAGTTACCTGGATATGACTTCAAGTGAGTGGGTTACTAGCCAATCTCTGACTTTCTATGTTCTCTCTGTATCTGTGGTTTCTCTGCTGCTTTATGTTTGGCTGAAGTTTTCTTATGTTGTATTTTTACCTTTTTCTTCATTTACAGAGCAGACATCTGGTCATTTGGAATAACAGCGCTTGAGCTTGCTCATGGTCATGCCCCATTTTCTAAGTATCCGCCCATGAAAGTAATTTTCTTGAATTTTTCATATTTATATGGGCTCTTCCTCATAGAAGTGTTTCACCGGTGCTTATTGGGTGAGTGTATGAATGATCTCCACTCTTTTCTTTGCAGGTTTTGCTTATGACTTTACAAAATGCACCCCCAGGCCTTGACTATGAAAGAGACAAAAGATTTTCAAAGGTTTGTGTTGGCCAGTTGAAACTCACATCTTCCATTCCCAAATTTAATTCATGAAGTGCTACATTTTCCAGTCTTTCAAAGGGATGGTAGGTGCTTGCTTAGTGAAGGATCCAAAGAAGCGTCCATCTTCAGAGAAGCTTTTGAAGCACCATTTTTTCAAACATGCACGACCTGTTGAATATCTGTCGCGAACCATTCTTGAGGGTCTTTCTCCATTGGGTGAACGTTTCAGGATGCTGAAGGTCTCTTGCTACTCCCATATTCTCTTTTGTACTTTATTATTCAGTTATGGTATGTGTCATGATTTCAGCTACATTTTTACTTTTTTTTTTTTGGTTGTGTTTTAGGCAAAAGAATCCGATCTTCTTGTGCCGAATAAGGCTCTCTATGGGGATGAACATTTATCACAGGTGAGAGTTGTTCAAAGTCAAATAAAGAGCTAACTACATTTTACACCCTTGAGGTTTGGGGTGATTTTCAAATTGGGCCATAAAGGTATTAAAATTGGGGATGAACATTTATCACAGGTGAGAGTTGGTCAAAGTTAAATAAAGAGCTAACTACATTTTACACCCTTGAGGTTAGGGGTGATTTTCAAATTGGGCTATGAAGGTATTAAAATTGTAACAATTTATGCCTTTGGTCTGATTGATTGTTTGACCCTTTATTAAATTGATGATATAGCGAGTGCGAGATCCTTATGGCAAAACGTGTAAGCCAAATTTGCATTACATCGACAAAAATACTCATCAATTTAATGGAGGATGAGATATTCAAAGAGGCAAAAGGTGTACAGCGATACAATTTCAAAACTTCAGGGTGAAGAAAATTTGAACCTCATGGTCTATTTTAAGACCTGAAGGGTGTAAAATGTAGCTAACCCTTAAATAAAAGTAGTTACGTGTTTAGTTGTAGTCTTGAGTGGTCTTTAGGCATCCGCATTTAAGGTTTCTTTTTCCGCCTTCACTCTTTGAATTTGTCTGTGTGCATGTGCTATAAATTAATATACTGTGTAATCAAGCTTTCTGCTTTAATATATATTCTTACTTGCAGCAAGAGTATATCCGAGGAATCAGTGCCTGGAATTTCAACATTGAGGATTTAAAAAATCAGGCTGCCCTTGTAAGTTTATCAATTTCTAGCCTATGTATACTTATTTTAGTCCTAATCAACTAACCGTTGGTCTGATTCATGCACGACGCCTTCATTTAAACATTATTAATCATTTATATTGTTAATTTATATTATTACTGACACACTGTTGCCAGCAGATTGAAGAGGATGGCATGCCCAATGCATCAAGTGAGAAGCAAATTGACAAGGACGAGGATGTTAGTTTTCCAGCGAAGAGGGAAGCCACTGAGATGGAAATCCAAGCAAATGCTGTGCCTTACGAGGAGGTACAGGAACTACTTCTTTAAACTCATCTTCCTTGTCTCAGATGTTCAGTTTTTTAAGTTCTAATTATTGTTTTATGTATTCGGTGTCTGCCTGCTTAGGATGGCTTCAACGATCTGCATGATTTGTGAGGATGATGTGAGTGCATCTAGTCCTAGAAACATTGCTCAAGAAAATGGAAGAAGTGAAGGTGAGACTTCAAGGCAATGTTGTTCTTTACCACGTCATGTTAATCCCGAGCCTAAAAAGTTTTGGAGTGGTTCACTGTAACTGGATAATGTGCTTTCTCCCAAAAAGGTTATTGGCAATGGTGAAAGGTAAGTGTTCTTATGATGAAGTTGATTGGGTTGTTTAATGTGCTTTTTCTTGTTGCCTAGTATTGTTATGAGTCATCCTTTGTTGGAACCACACTGTATTTTTTTATTTTTCACGTTGAAACCATCATATGATAATATTGTATACGTTGGATCAAATTTCAAGATCTTTGCCCGCACACGTGGCTGTCTGTGATTTCGCTTTCTTGTGTCCCTTCTTCCAGTTCCTGTGGTCAAACAAAAGTTATAATGTTGGAACCGTGCATGGTCATCACCTTTGTCTTCTAGCTTTTGGATAACTTGGAGGAACTATTTCGTTCTAGTATTGTGGTCGTTGATAAAAATAAAAGTCATCTTTATGTTTGGAAGAGAAAAACTACAGAAAAAAGAAAAAAAAAACAAAAAACTAGAAAGAGAAGCTATCGTATGGCATTCTCGAAAAGAGAAAAATTCCGAAAACATAAGGCATTTTCATGTGGGTAGGGTTGTTTCCCACTTGAAATCAACAGTGGGCCTACTCTTTGAGTCTATACATACAGTCCTCTCATTTGAGGATTTCTTTAAGTTATTCGTCGAGTTCATATATTGAGATGCTTTGAAGACTTCTATTCTGACCCATTGGTAGCCTTTTGTCTCTAAATGTAATGACTATACTGTTGTAGGAACTTCATTTAGGCTTTACATTGGAGATGCTTTTATAAGCGATTTTGATAACATTACTCTTCGACGTTAGAATGTGAGCAACTATACCGGGTATACCCTAAAAACTAATTGACAATGTTCCATAACATACTTAATTTGGTCAGTTTGAATATGGGACGAGCTATAATCTCTTGTCTTTTTATAATGGTGAAATATAAAGCGCATTTGATGGTTAATTAAAAATCAACTATTTCTCTAACTCTTGTCTTTTTATAATGGTGAAATATAAAGCGCATTTGATTGTTAATTAAAATTCAACTATTTCTCTAACTCTTGTCTTTTTATAATGGTGAAATATAAAGCGCATTTGATGGTTAATTAAAATTCAACTATTTCTCTAACTCACTAATGTTACATATGTATAATAAATAAATTCTAAACTTAAATTTCAAGTTTCTTGAAGCAATAATGGGCAGTTCAGGAGTCACCTTGGTGCAGTCGACCCTACCGAGTCCTCGTTCGGCAGACAAAAAGAGTCACATGCTTAGGTGTTAGGACGCACAAATTCTAAAGGTAAAAATGGAACACACGTTTACATCGTGCGGTTAAAAATCATTTAAATTTTTTTAATTTAAAATTAAATACAAATAGTACTTGACGAAAATTGATCGCACGATATACGATGAACGGTTATAATATGAGAATCCATAGGATCTCTATAAAGAGGATCCTCTTCCCTCAATTCTACGTCAATGTTAGGCTCGTGTCCCACCTATTAATGAGATTTTTCAGTGCATTTAGAACATGGGATGGTACTAACTCTATAAATAGTGAGATACTTGTGTCAAAAGATTAATAACTTAAAATTAAAACTCCCCTCGACTTATATAAAAACATATGATGTATCAGTCGTATTTTGAGCACAATAAACAATTTATCCACCTTTTGGTGGAATTGTTGATGGTAATAAATCACGAGGCATGCACAATTGCTGCACATCATGCGGCCGTCGCCATTGCCACTTGTCACGCCTTAATTGTGCAAAATTCAATTCACATCGTATGTCCAATTTTTATGTTGGGCCATACTCATCAACAAACCTAAATTATTGTACATCTTTTCATCATTGCCAAAATAGACAAGCTCCTACAGGTGGCAAAATACTGTTGGGTTCCCTAATTTATAAAATATATATATATATATATATATATTTTTTTTAATGACACGTGTATGCTGATATTTGATATGGCGAGTGACAGATGGCCAAGGATCTGCTATCCCTAAAATAGTGTCTCCTCCTATGTCTCATTTCTATTTATTTGACACGTGTCATTCACTTTAACAAAAGTAAAGCAGAGAGCACACACTTTGTGTGTGTTTTGTATTTGTGAACAATTTCTCTTAATAAGTTCATATTTTTTTTAATATTCATAATTACTGTTTTGTCCTCATGTAAATATTGTGTATCAAAAGTGAGGGTAAAATTGAAAAAATAAGTATATGATTGTCATTTTCTCAAAAAAAAAAAAAAGGGTAAAATAGGGATATGATTGTCATTTTGTCAAAATATACAAAATTACTATTTTGCCCTCCTTTTGTCAATAGTGTGTATCAAAAGTGAGGGCAAAAAAGGAAAAAAAAGTTGACAATGAGGGTTCTCTTAATAGAATAGATAGAGTATTGAAGAGATTTTTCAGTGTGACCGGAATACGGGGTGGTATATCACGTGTCCCTATACAAATAGTGGGATATGTATGTTACAAAGTTAATAACTTATAAAATACAATTTCCCATAACTTGTATAAAAACACATGGTGTACCATCCGTGTTCCGGTCACAAGAAAAAATTTCTTGTATTATTGTGAGTTCAGACAAACAGAATTCCCCAAAATACATGAGAAGTATTAGATTCCCTAGCAACTGGTGTCGTCAGCCAACCACCTCAACCACCCCACCTCATCGACGACAACACCCTCGGCCTCGATTTGTATCTCTCATTCCCTATCTCCCTCTAAACGCCTGCTTCAGAGACTAATCGATCCCCACGATATCGTTATCTCCCTATTCATCAGAAATTCAATTCAAATCACTAGCTTTGATTTAGTTCGATTCAAATCAAATCGACGGATCCAGTTCAATTCAATTTAAATCGCTGGCTCTGGTTCGATTCAAATCAAATCGTCGACTCCAGTTCAATTAGATTCCGAACGACAATTCCAATTCAATTCAATTCCAATATTTATCGATATGTTTTTCATGGAACATGATCAATTTTAGAGTGGACACCATCAATGAGAATTATGGCAACTTTTGGGATATTTGGGGTGTTCGGCGAGTGTTTTTTTTGGGGGGAGGGCGCAATGAATAGATCATCTGGAAGCCACCATTCCATTTTAGGGACAGCAGATCCTTGGCCATGACAAATACACATTGGGATCAAGTAATTTCCATACCATCCGAAAGCCAAAAAATATAAGGAAAACTAATTAAAATGACTTGAAAACTTTGAGTTTTAACGATAAGGACAAAATAAAGGGTAAAGTGAATAGTACTAGGTTTGACTTTTTAGTATAAAAATGTGGTTTTTCGTTAAAGTGAACAGTACCGCGGACTTTTCGTTAAAACTCCCAAAAATATATATGTGAATGTCTTCCGAAGACTCTTTCAATGTTTGATATGAATTTATTTTGTGCCCACCAAATGTTTCATGTAATGTCTGCTAGACATATCTCGCCAGCACTCGGTAAGTTATGTTGAGATTACTTAAAAAATCCTCTCGATAACTTTCATCAAATTGTTTCGCCATATGTCGATATATGTTTGTTAGATGCACAACCTAGTTCGACTTATGATAAAAAAGCCCACTAATTGTTTGACAAATGACCGAATGAATATACTGAAATTTTTTGCACGCTTCACGCTTTGTTTCTATTCAAAACTTAAAATGATTCAAATTTTGTCTTACAATTAATTTTGTAAAAGTTCTCAAAATCAATTGAAAACATGGGTTACTCACAGTTTTTGTCAAGAAATGAAATTTTTAATTTTAGGAAATAGTTTGAATGTGAATTAATAAAAATGTTGCAAGACCTTTGGATGTGATTTTATTCTTTATTAGGTACCGAAATTATTTTTTATTAATTTTTAAAGTTCAAAAATAGAAAAAAAAATAATGAAAACTAATAGCGGGACCCCAGAAGAGATTTGTAGGTGTTTGAAATCTTGGGAACGTCCTAAATTAATTTTAGGAAATATGTGGTGCGAGTTGATAACTCTAACTTTGGTTTACAACAAATGTCGTAAAAGTTCTCAAAATCGATTGGAAAATTGTTAAGGAAAAAATTGAAATTTTTAGCTTTAGCAAATATTTTGTCTCGGAGTTAAGGAAAATATTGCAAGATCTTTGAACTTGATCCTACCATTTATTAGGTCTCAAAACTATTTTTTTATTGATTCTTAAAGTTTAAAATTACAAAAATATCTTTAAATTTAGGTTTTAAATCGTTGATTTCAAGTGTTTAAATTTGAATTATAATAGGTTTTGTACGGAAAAATATATTTTGAAGAACATGAAAATTATAGTTTGTTGTTATGGTAAGGGAAATAAAATAAAATTTCTAAAAAAAAAACTGAAAAAGAAAAAAAAAGAAAATGGGTGGATCGGTATGAAACTAGCGACTCAATCTTGAAAATAGTTGCTAACGTGCTAACGTACTAGCAACTCCTATTGAGGAGGATCAGTAAAAACATACCGATCGTATCCTTTTTTTTTTTTTTTTTTTTTCCATTGAATATTTTTTAATTCCTACATTACTTTATTTAGATTGAAATTCATTTAGATTAAGATTTATATCCTTGTTTTCAGATTTTTTGACATGGATTATAAAAAAAAATTTCATCGAAAACACATTTTGTAGAACATGAAGATGATAGTTTGGTGTTGTGGTACGGGAAAAACAAAAGCTTAAATAAAATAAAATAAAATAAAATAAATGGTTTAGGCGCAGGGAGACGCAGCCCAAACTCATGCCCTCGGGATGGCCTAAGGCGCAACAAAAGCAGTGGAGGCCTATGAGGTATGGGGTTTAGCAGTGTGTGGATGGTAACACTTTGAGTTCAAGTGTTTAGGGGCGTGTGAATAATAACCCTGAGTTCAACGTGTTTTAGTGCCTAGCGCACTCAAATTCTTTTCCCTCACAACAATGTGGCGGAGAAATGTGTTTTTTTTAAAGGAAGGGGTTACTGAATTAAAAGTTACAACTTTAGTGTGAATTCTATCATGGTTGATAGTAGCTTATAAATGCCCCAACCCTGGCAATCATACTTCATCCCACCAACCATGGTTGACTAATGAGATTAAAACTAAATCCTACTATATATTAATAACAACCTATAAATGCCCACCCTCTACACCAATGCTTCATGCGAGTAACAGCAGTCGAGCCATGGGATTAAAACTAAACCTATCCCCTATAAATGCCCTACCCGACACCTATGGTTCGTACGACAAACCATGGCTTACATGTGGGATTAAAACTAAACCATACCTCATTACTCGTATAA